ATGCGACAGTCCAGTGCTCCCAACAATAGCTCCCCGGGGCAGAACAACAGAAACGAGAGAGATGCTTCACCTGCCTGCAACACAAACTACCACCAAGACACCCAACAATTCTCCATGAAACAGAATATAAAAGCAGAGGTTTCTTTTTTCAAAGTGTTAGCAGGGGCGAACAGTGGTTCCCAAAGCTACTGCTGGTGGCCCCAGGTGACATCTGGCAAGGAAGGTGTAGAACTGGAGGAAGCAGGAAAGGAGCTGATGCTTGAGGGGCTCTCTTACCAAGGAGTGCATAAGATTTTAAACGTGCTTTACTACTGAAAAAATATTAAAGCCAAACTTGCACAATATACCAGACAGTGCTTTAGAACCAATTAAGACCTCCAACTGAAACCTTAAGATTTGAACGGACTGCTTATTTAAAGCGTTTCCAGACACCCATGTTCAACTTCTGTATAACATGCATTAAAACCACCTACACGTACTCGAGCCAAGTGCTCAAAAACTGTACTAATATCCAGCCCCAGGTTGAAATGTGCTTATGAGCAAGAGGAACACCCAATTTCCTTCACATGCAGCTGCAAGTTTGATTGAAACGCCACGCCCTGTCTTTGGGGCTCTTTTCAGACTCCATCCTCCGCACGTACAAAATGCTGGAAACAAATGACTGCTGTAAGTTTTAAAACATTGCCCAGCTATCTGCATTGTCCCTGGACAATGGAAAACAATACTTTTATTGCTCTCCTCCCATTCATTAGCTTTCCTGGTTAGACTGTTGTGTAACTTCCACCAGGAACTTATCAAAAGAAAACACCGTCAATTAAAAGTTTTGTATGAAAATCCTACGGGGCTGGTCCATGAGAAATGCCATAAGGACTGATGTCAGCATGACACCACGTTTCTTATGAACTTTCCATTCTGACAATGCTCACCCTACAACATGAGGACAAAGCTTAACACGAAAAGCACTGGAGGGCACGGGAAATGAGGCACCCTTGAAAGCCAGCGTACTTCTGCCCGCAACGATAACTGAGGCCTTCAGGAGAACAGACATCGCCAACACACACGCTGATTGCAAAGCTTAACCAACCTCTCCCCGAAGCACTTGTTTTACCCTCTTAGCAAAAGCTTTTTGGCTTTGTGTTCAAGGACCAACAAAAGATTTTTTTAAGCCAAAAGGAGAGGAACCTATAAAACCTCTGAATTGTTGTTCTGGGGTTTTGTTTTTTTTTTTGTTTGTTTGTTTTTGGGGGGGGTTTGGGGGGGGTTTGTTTGTTTTTTAGGAGGGGGTGGTGGAAAACAGCCAATTCTCTGCTGTCAGCACTTCTACTAATTCTCCAACGTTAAGTACAGAAAACATTTCCAGCCAACCTGAAATTCTTCCATCTTCAAACAGAAGCAAGTCCTCAGACCTTAACACAGGTCATCACAAAGCTGAGCTGTCAGTCCAAATCTCTCCCTTTGAAGTGCATTGCCAGCTAGGATACCTTCTGCATTAGCAAGACGATAGCTCATTTAGCCTTTAAGATGCGATATCTTTTATTAGACCGAGTAGTTGGAAAGAAGTTCTTAGCAACTTTTCGGTGATTGCACCCAAAAGCTTGCTAAGAACGTTTTTTTCCAGCTACTCGGTTTGTCTAATAGAAGATGTCACATCTACCCAAAGAGCCTTGCACCTCATGGCTTAGGAATACTTTCCTTTGCTTTTCTCCCAAGCTTGCCCAGAGTAGACTGAACCTGTGGCTCTTGTTGCCAGTATACAGAAAAAAAGTCTCATTTAAGTCTGGAAACACTTTCCTAAATTCCAGCGAGGAAAAAATCCCATAGTCCTATAGATACTTTTCAGTGCCCATCAATTTGAGTGCTCTATTTTTTGTACTCCTCCAGTTAAACATGCAGAAAGCACCTTCTGAAGTCCACACCTAGTAAGGCTTTAGTCCAACGCATAATATTTAGCGAGCGCGGAGGGGGGGCTGCTCCTCATCTCTCCATGTAGTGCAGGTTTTTTTGGGCCAAGCATCTTCACTGGCCTTAAAGAATAAAGCATTTGTCAATGGAGGAGCTCTACTCCTGGCTTTGCACGTCTCGAGTACACCTCATTTCATCTAGCTAGATGTTAATGACACTGCTGTTCTTTTATCCCCAGAGTGAGGGATTATAAAAAAGAATCGTGCTCTAGATCTGCTGCATCGTGTGTACTGAGACTGCCTTAGGGCATGGCACACATTAACCCACAGATAAAAGCTTGCTCTCCTGGCACCATCTCATGTGTGCAGTAGTAGCATTTACTGGATAATCCTTGAAAATTAGACAGCAAATCCTGGAAAATTAGACCCTGAGGTTATGGACACATGAAGGCCGCATTCATTGGCTGGAAGCAGAGCATTCTCTCTCCGATTAAAATGACGTTTGCATAATTGTGAGGGGACACAAGACAAGGATGAAGCCCTGTAGATCAGGGAGAGCTGATCAAGCAATGTTTTCCCGGGAAACCAGTTCATCTCTTGATGCAGGGTTATCTTTAAGGCTGTCTCTCCCTGCTCCCAGAGTGCTGGATAGAGCTGACTTGGAGTGTCGTAGCCTTCATTCCCACAGTCGGATCAACCTGAAAGAGCGCCAGAGCCTGACAAATGTAGGCTACGCCTAACACCTGCTGACATCGAGTGCCAGACTTTTCCCCAAAAGGAAGTACTTGGAATCTGCCGATTTCTTCTTGAAGGCCAGTACGTTCTTACCCAGAGCACCTCTTCCTTTTCAAATACTCCCCGCCCCCAAAAACAACCAGGCCATCAGTTCCAGCCCGTCTACTTCACGGGGAAAATGTTAGACTCGGAGATGGCAAGTCTTTTTGAAAGGGAAGAAAGATGGGGGCTGAGGTAGAGAGGGTATCATCCCTGTAGCACTCAGCAGATCTAAATATGAATGCACAGACATCTTGGCACGGTCAGATAAAACAAAGAGACCCCTTTTCTCTTGGCCTTCTGGATAGTCCTGTTAAAGGACAGCTGGGGACTAGCAAAAAAAAAAAAAAAAGAAAAGACCTTTGGCCACAAAACCCAACACCTGGATCCCTTCTTCCCCAACTGAAGGACATTCAACTTAAAACCTAAAGTTAGATTTCTTCCCCTCCCCATCCAATTTGTTGTATGCAAATCGAGAGGAAATATTAATCAAGTCTTAAGACTCAGGGGTAGACCACTGCTCCCTGGTTTAATCTGCTTGGCGCTCCTGAATGAAGAGTGAAGAGCCAGCCCTGCCCAGGCTGCGAGGTCCATGCACTAGTCTGGTGAAGAGTCCAAGATCCCCCTAGAAATATCCCAAAAAACATGCCTGAGTGGTCCTAGGCCAACACCACTACTCGCTGCAGTAGATAGGATGAATAATTTCCTCCTAGTAGAGGATAATCTGAGGAGAAGCACAAACATTGTCCTTTTCCAACTGTGAGGAGAAATGCATGAATAGCTGGGGCTGGATCCTGAAGCCCCTTCACTGCTCTTCTGTTCACGGCAGTCGAAAGCAAGAGCACAAGCTGGCAGAGCAACTGGAGATCCATGCTCGGCTTTCCTGCCGACTTGTGGTCAACAGCAGTGGCTGCTGAAGGAGACTTTCAGGGCCTGTTGGTCCATGTGCCCCGAGGATGCACCTTACAGAGGACTTCAGGGATTTGTGCCAGTCATGTTTTGTATTTCATTGAGAGCTAACCCTGGATAGTTCTTCTGGAGAGAAAATCATAGCAGGGTACCAAAGAAACAGGCGTCTATCCTTCTGTAACCTGCAGCATATGAAGGATGAGAAGACAGCGCTCTCCTTTAAAGCCATTTCCTTGTCTGCTGTCAACCACAGCTCCTTCCTTCTGAAGTCTAAGCACCATGATGGTAGCTAAAGTTAGGAGTCAGCCCCTTCCCACCCTGAGGTATTGTGGCTGTGAAGACCACCGGTTTGATCAGAGCTTGGGAAACTATTAGGTTTCTTGGAGACCGAGGTCTGCAGCACATCTAATTTGTGCCTGCTCATCTGCCACTAAGACAGAGATGGGTGAGAAAACGGGGATCTCCAAGCTTAACAAACTCACTTGGGGTGAACTTGGCCATTGCCTCTGAAGCTGCAAGCCAATGCTAAATACTTACCCGAGTAAAAAGGTTAATACCATACTTTTCGGTAACGTTCTCTAGGCCACTAATAGCTGCATTTCAGCGTGCTCCCTTCCGGATGATAGCAGATACATTTGCACTAATAAATGATTGTTTCCTCTCCTCAGAGCCCCCTGCCCGTGCTCCCAGGAGACAGAAATACAATTAAGACAGTTAAACGCTTCCTTTGCCATCAGCAACAAAACGTGTGAAGATATTTCACCACTCGTCTTGAGGAGTTAGTGAGGAAACAAACAGGAGCTGGCTTTTCAATTAATGCCTTCAGATTTGAAGTGGGCTGAGTAAACATTTGTGCACTCGCTAATGACAAGATGCTTAACCCCTGCCACTCTCATTAGTGCTCCCTCCGGACCTGCTGCAGCTTCACGACGGATTTCATCACCAAGGACAGCAACTGCTCCTTTCGGGACGGACTCCTGTATTTGCAAAGACAGCTCTGCTGCCAGTTGAAACCATCCATTTTCCAGGAGGTGCCATTAAAACAGACACGAAAGTGTCTCTAACTGCCTAAGGAGCTAGGGATCGCAGAGGCTTCTTCGGTCGTCTAATCCATCATCCTGCCAACACGAAGCTATTCCTCACCATGCGGTTGATTAGCCTTCTGCCAGCCTAGCTTTAACTATGTCAAGAAATCAGGGCTGCCACACTTTCTCCAAAACTGCTGACGGCTCGATAAACCACACCACTGGGACACTTCTCCTAAATTTAGCCTAAAATACTCTAGCTTCATCTCATTTCTCCAGTTTGCTGTTCCAAGTCATTCCTTTCCCTTAATACTTGTGCCTTTCCGCTATATGCAGATTTAACAAGCCCCGCGTACCCTGAAGCACACCCCTGAGTTCACCAAGCAGGCCTCTCCGAAGGGCATTTTTACCTTATTCTTAAGCAGGCTGGACATAATGGACACAGACCTAGTCCAGAACACAAGGGGGCTGGTAAATTAAAATATAATCAAACCATTAATAAATCCATATTATTCCTCAAGAAGAGACATTCCTACCCTTTTTCTATATGCTTCCCCTTCACTGTAAATGTGAAATTGGGCAGAAATAGTAGTACAGCACAAAAACTCAGTGAACCAAGCTGAAGTATGGAGAGTCACCATCACACCCCAGCACCATCGGGGTCAAAAGGAGGAGCCCTGTCCCTCCTTCTGGCTGCTGCCTTGAGGTGACCCGGTAGCAGGAGAAAAAAGAATGAGAGAAATGATCATGAGAGGAAGGTACCAAGCAGAGAATAAGAAGCTGGCTGAGCGGCACACAATGCTGCACTCTCTCTATAGCAACACAGGGTATTACAACCACAAGCCTGCCCTCTGCCTCCTACCCTGGCTTCCCGTAGGATGTCAGTCAAACTTCAGGATACTCTAGGGGCTAAAATATATAGCTCCAGGTTAAAAACTGGGGTCAATTAATTCCCTTGGCACAGTGCTACTCTCTAACCCGACAGAATTAACTCACCACCTAACAATCCTTAACCTTGCCCCGCTATACTTCAGTATGTCTATTAAAAAAATCCAGACCTAAAACATGCGCGCTTCAAAACAAGCGACCAACGCTTCACCACACAGGTCTCTCTCACCGGGGAGTGGATGAGAATAATCAATCATGTAACAGATGTTAATTATGTCACGTAATGCATTAGCAAATGATGATTAGATACCATGCCAGTGGGTACAGTATTGTAAGAGATACTGAATACAACAGAAACAGACAATGGGGCAGGGAGTCAGACTGTGCATTCAGGAATCTAGCAATAAGGCTAAGAAGAGATATTGCATTTATGCCTGGGTAAGTTGTGCCTGTTTGTCCCAAAAAAAAAAATATCCCAGGGTTGGCATGTACACACACACACACACACACACACACACACACACACCACCCTTCTAACTGGGGCTTAGTGAGCAGCTGAATACAGTGCCACTTTTCTTCCATTGATTCAATGATGAAATCGCAGGATAACTGTACAGACATACATTGCAATATCCCAGGATAAAACTATTATTACCTCTTATCCAGGAAACTTTCTTAGGATTTCTCTCAGGAAAAATGGGAATGGTATCTATACAATTTCACTTTGTCCCAGGGGGGGAAAAAAAATGGTTTATCCTGGGATAAATGTGATACCCATTTGCAGTCTAAGGCTGAAAAACAGCAGTTGGATTCCTCCCAGGACAAAGTCTTTTACTCTAGGTGTAAGACTGTACAAGCCCATTATGCCATCTGAAGTACCTGTAAAATACCAAGACCACCTCTCCCCCACCCCAGCAACTGGGACTAATTTAAGGAAATTGCCATTCATATTACAGGTGTAAATGACTGTCCCTGAACCTGCTTTGACGCATGTCAAATCTTGGGGCAATCAAACTTGGGAAACGTCTGTTTTTAGCCTAAGGGTCAGAAAAAACACACTGTGCGCGCACACACACATTGCACATTGACTACTGGCATACCTCTTGGACTTCAAGGGAGAAACACAACCAGAGAATTTGGCCCTGATCTGGGAAGCATTCTTAGCATGGTAGGATTTAAACCTGAACCAATACAGAACCAGGTATTTAAATGACCTTTATAATCAGTTTGAACCAGAGATGTTCATTCACCGTCAGCCAAATGTATGCAAAAGGGCAAAAAAAGCTCTGATGTTTCATAGACTTTTTTCTTCTTTTAACTTAAACACCCATGAAGGATATCAGATTGCCATCCCCAAAACAAGAATGCCAAAGGAAGAAACCCTGACCTGGCAGAACCACTGATTCTGGTTCATGTTGAGGCTGCCAACAAGATGTTGACAATAGTTCACAATAGTCCATGCAAGAAGTACCTGTTCACTTACGAAGTCCACTAATCAGCTTTCGTAAGATAAAAGCCAAAAGAGGCTAAATGCAAACCGGTGAGCTAGGTGAGAAGTGCTCTTTGTCCCATTAGCAATCCCCCAAGATATCTAGTCTCCTGGTTTCCACTTTATACAGTTACCTCTTCATCCTCCTCCTCATCTTCAACATCCAGGATACCCGAATCCTGCTCAGACATGGGGCTAGTGTTTTTTACCTCCAAATCTGAGCCTGCACAGACTTCTTTCTTGGATTTCTTTCCACCGCCTATCCTGGGATGCTGAGACACAATGTTATCCAGGTTTCTTTGCTGCTGAGCCTAGAACCAAAGCAGATTAAAAGTTTTATGTTAGTTTCTACAAATTTATGACTTGGGGACAAGAGATATTAACTATTCAGAAACTACTATAAAAAGGGGGAAATTATGGCATACTTTCAACTCTGCAAAGCTATTTCACGTGTTTATTAACCTAGATATTCCAAAGAACCAAAAGACTCGTTTGAAAACCATTTGAGAGATTATACAGTACAGTAACTAAAAGTGTATCACGACTCCTTACAAATCAAAATACCATCATCATCAGGCTGCCACACTGATCTCTTTACAACACACATGCATGGTATATTAGACTATAGGCCATATGGTGACTGTCACAAGATTAATTTAAAGGACCTACTTAACTCTTGGATATGTTCCTCTTTCCAACCCATGTCAGCACAAAGCCTTCCACATCTGGACCCCAGAGATTCCTGAAAGCATTTTTGTGGTATCCTGGGAGAACTTAGTTGTACCGTGCTGATCTGTGTGACCTATTGAAAAGGTACTTTGCCAAAACTCTTGCACGGGTATTATCACCATGATTCAGGGACTGGAACAGGTAATGCAACAGAAATGTCTTCACACCAAAATTAGTGTATGGGCCTCTGGGAGAGTTTAACTCTGGTTAGAGTTTGGCCTCTTGATCTTTGTTTCTAGGGAGGATTAGTAGAATTGCCCTGTTGCAAAAACTAAAATTGGATTTTATTATTAAAAAACGTGACCGACAGACGGGAGAATTGCCTAGATTCAAAGTGCCACTGTGCACCTTCAAACTGAAGTGCAAACCTGGAACCGTATGCAGATGCTACTTCCCTAACCACAAATGCAACCCAAGGCAAACAGGACAGGCTTATTCTGAAGCAGAACCGGTGCTACGCACAGGATAAGATTCATTTGGACTACATCATGTTTTGTATTTGTCAGTGATGCCGAGGAGGGAAAGAAAAGAGCTTGAAAACTCCCATTTAAAGGGGTAAACTTTCATGAATGTATTTGGAGGGAGAGTCGGGGGAGTTGATGAAAAGAAATGTTTGCAAGCATGCTTTCTCCTGCTCTGTTTGCAATCTGGAAACTGTGATATTGCACTACCATGGACAAAACTTGGAAGGGATGGGAACTAGAAACCAAAGACTTTTCATTGCCCAAAATGAGGAGCAAACAAAATATTTAAAACAGTGAAAGGAAATCAGAGATCCCCCTCTCCTTTTTTTGTTTTAAACTTCCAAATATATTAATCACATCAAGGATGACAGCCGCTCTTTTAATATCAATTCCTTCTTAACACTTGTACAACACTTTGCCAAAGGCAGGGTAATCTATCCAGATTACAGCTACAAAGGAGCTGTAAAGCTGAGCTAACATGCTATGTTAACAAGCATTTGATGCGCAAAATACACCAGGATCTGTTATGCCATAAAACCAGTCGTGTTCAATGTATTCATCTTTAATTGAGAAAAATTACATTCAGATCAAAGAACTTTAAAAGAAAAAGAGCAAGGCAAGGATGACCAGCGTCCGCTGTAACGGACTGATGGAGATGAGCGTGAATCAGTTTGAACAGTAAAGGCCAATGAAGCTACTTATTGTACTGTCACAGCACAATCTTGACCTCTAGTGGTTGGAAAGCAGTAGAAATAAGAGTAATTGTGTCTTTAAATGACGAGAGGGGAGGAAAAATAATGGCTAAGCAACAGAATTAGCAAAAAGATCCCCTCCTAAATCCCTCTCTCAGCAACAGGGATTTAGGACAGTCTCAGGAAAAGGTCAGTCTACCTGCACTGCGGAAGAGAAGTCTTGCTCACAACTGCCCTACTTTAAACTGGGAAACCTAGTGGTATACCCTAGATTAGCGTCCAGGAGCTCAACTCCATAAAAACCTGTTGCAACATCATAAAAAGGAGAATGAGGAGTTAAAAAATAGCAATAAGTACTTGCTCATTTCGCAACCCAGAGACCTTGGGCTTGATTCTGCTCTCAGATACACCCATTTACATCATCGACTACTCAAGTGAAGCAAAATGAGGCAGGAACAGTGAATCCATTGTAAGCCATACCAAAACCAGCCAGTGTTTCCCTGAAATCTCCTTAGCTTATATAATCATGTTTCCACTTGCCCTTTTTAAAGAGAGAATAAGCAGAATTGTGTCTCAGTGGACTCTCTTGCAAAGTTTTCCACAAAACCATCTTTAAACGGATCATTAAACAGGTTGTACAAAGAGAACGTCTAGAAAAAATAAATGAAAGCAGTCATGGGAGAGCAGAGCCTGACTCGGTGCAGCGAGGATGCTGCAGCTTAATCTGGTCTTTCACTGCCCAAGCTCAAAATATAACAGCCTTACCAAATCACGCTGGAACACAGAATTAAAGGAGGAGAAGAGAAGAGCTCGTAAGCATGCTCAAAACATCAGAGCAGAGGTCAAGTTGTGCTCCTTCCCGTGTGTAGATTAACACCTTGCTTTTGTTTGGAGGCAATACGCTCCCCAATTCAGTTTGCTCTTACGCACACAGTATTAACAGCAGTACCAAATAGGTTTTGAACAACAGAAAGGATCAGAACCAAACCCCCCGACTGAAATATACCTCTAACAGACAGAAACGTCGCGCCCAGATCGGGGCGTTCAAAACCCAGATCTGAAGGCAAACCTTCCTGAGGTTGAGCTAGTCTGGATTCACCCTGTTAAAAGAGAAGGGAATTTCGGCAGCAAATCCAAATCCAAGCCCCTCTCTGAGGTTTATATTGTGGTTTTAGTTCAAGCCCATCTCTATTAAAGATTATTCCTCCTTATTTTTTCTATCCCACCACCCACAGATCTGTGAAAGGCAGTTAGAGAGATTCCCATGACGACTTAAAGCTTCTCACCGTGCGAAGAACAGCTGCACACTTTTATGGACTACAAACACGTCCCCGATAATAAAATAAGCCCCTCAAGCACGGAATTTCCTAAAAGGACTACATGCATCTTCGTTTAGCTCAGAAACTGCTTAAATTATGCTTAACAAAAGCAACACAGCCATCGTTTCACTCTGGAGGAGGTTCTCACACCAGCTGAATGCTCAGTGTTGCCAATGCGCTAATACAATATTATGGCAGCTTGCATTTCAGCGACACTACATATCCTCTCCTGCAAGTGCGACAGCAAGCTTGAGGAGTAGTCCACAAAGCCCAGATCCAGCGAGGAAGGAGGGTGCAATACGGGTTGATTTGGTAATCCAGGTATTGCATTAGAGCTCTAGTGGTGGGGAAAAGAGCGGGATTGATTTGCTATTAGTTGTGGGTTTGGGTTTCATGGGTTTTTTTTTTTTTAAAAGCTTGGCGAGAAGCAAATATGGACTAAAGTGACCTGTAAGTGAGAAATATCAAGTTTTCTTCAGCTTCAGCAGACTTGGGTGAAGTCACTGGAGTTTCGGTTTCACCGTGTGCGAGAGCGAGTCGCGGAGAGGCCCAAAGGAAGCAGCACACATTTCACCGCCAGCCAACTCCCCCTTGCCTGCACCTTCCAAGCCCCCTTCCCTTCTGGGTTTTGGCAAGGAGAAAGCTCTGCAATATGTTTGACACTGCACATAAAGAATGAAAAATGACCTGCGGAGCAGGCACATTTGGATTTTAACATTCTGTTTCACATAAAGGCATCTGTAGGAAGCCCAGAGAAGAGGCCACATCAAAGCCCAGGCGACACTCCTGCCTGCCCTCGGAAAATAGAGTAACCTGGAGCTGAAGGGAAGG